TAGAAAGAGCTTGGGTTTGAGGAGCATCAGATTCGGGTTCAAATCTTTTGACTGTGTGAGTTTGTACATAGCACTTCCCCTCCCTGAGCTCAGTTTCCTCATCTGTAAAATGGGAATCGGAATACCCACTTTGCAGAGTTGTTGGGGGAATTTGAGGTGATGACGTAACTACAGTGCTTGGTAATTATTGCCATGATTGTTGCTGTTTATTCACAGCAGCAAAAACAGTGCTAGACCCACACTTAGCTCAATAATAACACTAGACCATAAGCTCCTCAAGGGAGTGGCTATGTTTGAATTGTTTCCATAGCCCTAGACAGGGGTCAGCAAACCAATCTGGGTCAAATCCAGCCCACTGCCTGCTTTTGTAAGTTCTTTTGTAACACCCATTCACCTGCTATTATGCCCATGGCTACCTTCTCCCTACAACAGCAGCGTTGAATACTTACAAAGCTAGAAATAGTTATTATCTGGCTCTTTACTGAAAAAAAATTGGTTGATCCCCACCCAGACCATAGTATAAGATTTGATAGATAACAGGTACTCAGCAGTTTATTTCTTTAATCCTGGACCCTGGATTTTAATCCTGACTCTGTCATTACCTTGCTATGTGACCTTAGATCAGTCCCTGTTCCTCGCTGGGCCTCAGTCTCCTTGAAAATTTGGCCTACATAAATGGTCTTCAAATTCTGCATCATAACCACCAGGGGAGCATTTTTGGATACAGATTCCTAAACCTCATCTCTGGAGATGCTGCCTCTGCTGTTATGCCCAGGAGACAATAGGGAGTGGTGGGGACTGTGGTGAGCGGAAGAAGCCATGCCTGTGTAACGGGACAGGTGCTTTCCAGCTTTAAGCAGTTGTTACCATGCAGAAACAGGGGCCTGGGGTTGCTGGATCTATTTCTGTTTACAGGGAAGCCAAGAATTGTTTCTGTGAAGTCTTCTACTTTTTAAATATTGCCAGCTAATTCAATTTTAAAACACTCTGCTGGACAATTAAAATATATCTGTAGGCTGTATTTGCCCTAGACCTTCAGTTAAATGATTTTGGAGACCTATCCCAGCTGTGAACACTAGGGTGTGATTTATTTAACCAACATTTAACAAACATGATGCTTCCCAGGCGCCCATCATTGCTCCAAATGCCTTACCAACATTAACTCATTCCATCCTAACACCCTTAGTATTGTCTTCATTTAACAGAAGAGGACACCAAGAACAGAGGCAGGCAGGCTGGCTGCAGAGCCCTGCTCCCACCTCCCCACACCCATCCTACCTGCTGACGCTAATCTTTTTATTCCTTGAGCACAGCAGACAGCCCGGCCCACCTTCTTTGCCCGGAAGTTCGAAGCCGTGGTGAATCAGGAGATCATCGGGCAGCTGGACTATTACCTGTACGGGAACTACCCCGCAGGCACCCCTGGGCTCCGCTCCTACTGGGAGAACATCTATGATGAGCCTGATGGCATTCACAGCCTCAGCGACGTGACGCTCACCTTGTACCACTCCTTCGCCCGCCTGGGCCTCCGTAGGGCTGAGACGTCGCTGCACACTGATGGGGAGAACAGCTGCAGGTGAGCCAGGTTGGCAAGGCGAGGAGAGACGGGGTGGAGGAGGGACAGGGAGGGGGCCAGGGAGGAGGGTGCAGACCTTCCTCTGTTAGGGGCCACGTGCTTCTCCCTCACTTCCTTTGCCTAAAGAGCACCTACACAACCATCCCAGCGCTTAGAGCATGTCCTGTCTACCCTCCACCCTGTCTAAGCCAGTGGTTCTCAACCTTCCTAATGCCGCGACCCTTTAATACAGTTCCTCATGTTGTGGTGACCCCCAACCATAAAATTATTTTCGTTGCTACTTCATAACTGTAATTTTGCTACTGTTATGAATCGTAATGTAAATATCTGATATGCAGGATGTATTTTCATTGTTACAAATTGAACATAATTAAAGCATAGTGATTAATCACAAAAACAATATGTAATTATATATGTGTTTTCCGATGGTCTTAGGCGACCCCTGTGAAAGGGTCGTCGCGACCCACAGGTTGAGAACCGTTGGTCTAAGCCAGTGGTTGGCAAACTCATTAGTCAACAGAGCCAAATATCAACAGTACAACGATTGAAATTTCTTTTGAGAGCCAAATATTTTAAACTGAAACTATACAGGTAGGTACATTGTTATTAACTTAATTAGGGTACTCCTAAGGCTTAGGAAGAGCCACACTCAAGGGGCCAAAGAGCCACATGTGGCTGGAGAGCCACAGTTTGCCGACCACGGGTCTAAGCCATCACCAGAATTTTACTTTTTCCGAATACCAGATCTAATGCTTACCCAATTATTTCCTTCCAGTGGACTCATTCTTTTATGTTAAGCATATGTGGTATTTTAAAGGGAAGCTCTATGTCATCCTGTTACATAGTTGTATTTGTCTTAAATGGAAGGTAACCATGGAAATACAGAACCTTTTTTTTTATTATGGAAAATGTCAAATATATTCAAAATAGAGAAGAGAGTGAAACCCCATGCTCCCACCACCCAACTCTCCCGTGACCAGCTCTGGGCCAATCCCGTGTCACGGCCCCTCCTCCCAGATCGGTCTGATGGAGGCACATCCCTTACATCACATCACCTCAGCCATAAATATTTTAATGTATGTCTCCGAAAAGAAAGACTCCATTTTCAAACATAACCATGTTATCATTACCACACCTAACCATATGACCAGAGGCATCAGCAAGATGCAGAACTATTGTTTAAAGCGCTCGGGTACCCCTGAGAATCATCCACCTCCCCTGCCACTAGCAGGTGCAGGTTGACACTTGAGGAAAGAGTGTTCTAGAATGTATGGAAAGCAGAGGGGAAGGTAGGGAAATAATTCCACAGAATCCCCTCCCCTCCGCTGTCTTTCCCTAAGCCAAGCAGCCCTTTTGTTGGCTTGTCTTCCTTTCTCTAGCAATGTGCATTGCAGAAATCCACATACTTGCAACAAGAGTTTGGAGCCCTGTTATATTCCTGATCAGCATTATAATATTAGCCCCTCTCCCGCCGCTCTGCAGCTTCCTTCATGCTAATGATCCTTTTTAATGCCGCTGCTGTTCCAAAGAGCAGAAACTCGGGAGTTTGCTTAATCCAGCCCTTTCCTGTTGCTATTGTCAATAATGGGCCATTGTAAATAACGCCCTGATGACTCTCTTCTTTGCAGAAAGCCTCTTTCTTTCCTTCTTTTTTTTTTGGTTATTTTTTTAGGTTGGATTTTCAAAAGTGCCTCTAATCACTCTCCTCTTTCTTGTTCTCCCTTCTCCTTCTCCCACCTCCCTCTTTTAAAGCAAAAAAAAAAAAGTTTAACATTAGTCTCTCTCCACTGAGGCTCCTCCTATGTACCCCTCCTTGCCTAGCTCTTCCCTCTTCTCTGGAACTATTGCCTAAATCCTGAACACAGGGGAAGGTTTCCTGGCTGGGACTGCCTGCCTGGCCATCTGGGTTCCTGCAGGGCTGCCACAGTTTATTCTTATCTCCTCATGGCCTCAGCCTCGATCCTCTTCCTGTGGGTTCTGACTTAGTTTAAGGAAAGCCCAGTGTGAGTCGGGAACCAGGACCTGCAGATTGAACTCAACTTTTATTTACTACCTGTTGGCCTCGGACAAGTGATTGACCTCTCTGACCCTCAGTTTCCTCATCTGTAAAATGGGAATAATAATAAGCCTTACAGCATAAGGTGTTATGAGGTTTAAAGGAGATAATCCTCAAAAGTGACCTTCTCACTTATGTAGTATTATTATTATCCCCATTGTTAACCATGTTTTACTTACAGAGTGCTTAGTAAATGTTCATGCCATTATTATTAAGCTTCCAACGTCAACAGGGAGCCTACTGTGTGAGCTACACCCTCCGTAACCAGTTACATGAGCTGCTCATTCCGCCCTCTGTGCTTTCCTTTGCTTACCGCCCCCACTGTCCCCACACAGCCAACCCTCTCCCAGTCTCCGAGGGCCATCGCAGGCGCCACATCCTCTGTGAAGCTTGCTGAGAGCTCCCCCTGATAGCCCATCCCCTCCCTCTCCCAAGCTGAAAGTAGCTCAGACTCACTTCCAACCCCTCCCTCCCCCCCCCCATTGCATGTAGCAGCAGTACTTTGGGTCAAGGTCAATGGTGAAGGTCTTCTGCCCCTGCTAGTCTGGGCGCAGAACCCTTGCTCACAGAACCACAGTACAAATCCCCAGCACAGAACCCAGTGCCACTCTTGGAAGCGGAATATTATTCAAGAATAGTCTTAATCCCAGGCTTCTTAGAATTTATAAAGTAAATAATCTTATAGGAAATTCTAGAAGACACTTCCAAACAAATCCTAGGACTTGTTTGGGGATTAAGCGGGCCATCAAGGTGCCCCGGGCCTGGAATCCTTTGACTTCTCGCTCATTTTTATCACACTAGAGCCACTGTGCCTTGCTGTGGGCAAAGCCAATATATTTATGAATATGAGCCTGAACGTTAATCAGGACAAAGGACCCTTATCCCAAAAGGCAGCGGAGAGTAAATTCCTACCCCCAGGGTATCTGGGGAAACAGCACGTGAGAACTTTATTTCAAGAGTCTCATTTTCTTTGGGCACTTCATGCAAATTGTGTCTTTCCAGTCTGCGGGATAACCTTTCATAAAAATAATGTTTATTGATTTTTTTCATTATAAAATAACTCATGCTTGTTGCAGAAATTTTCAAAATGGCAGATTGAGAGCACAAGAAAATAAAGTTTGCTTGTGAGTCACCCTCCAGAGATGAAGATGTCAGGAATTTATTACACGTCCTCAAATTCAAATGCCCTCCTGGGCCAGGCAAGTAGCGCATGGCAGCCAGTGCTGGCTGGCCCCTCAGCACGGGCTCACCGTGCCAGCCGAGACTGCCCGGGGCCCCGTGCTGAGCCCCAGCACGTTCTTATCCAATGGGCATGTAGACATTGAACTGCCAGCCATTTTTCAAGACAAATCAGAAATGTAGATGTTTGTGAGTCTCCTAATTTTTTCAATGCCCACTTATTTCAGTAAGAAAAGACAAAAAGCCACCTTTGGGTGAGATGAATGCATCTGTGGCATCCTTTAGGTTCTGTTGTACTGCATCTATTGAAAACAAACTCCCTTCTTAGTTTTAGTTAATTATCATACACAGTCAAGACAACTACCAGGAGGTTTTGTGCTCAGTCCTGGGTTCCATGTATCCTAGATGTGCCTTAGAAGCAAAGGGTTCAAGAGAAAATCCTTCTAGAATTTTCTCTCAATCAACAAGTATTGTTTGAAGCATCTACCATGTGTCAGGCTCTGTGTTAGGCACTGGGCACTCAGCCATGACCCAGACCGACCAGGCCTCTGTGTTCAAGGCCCTCCCGTTCTAGTGTGAAGACAGACTCTGCCTAAGCACTGGTACACAAGAACGAAGGATCAGTAGGGATAAATGCTCTGCTCAGAATGAAGGTAAAGTCACATGATGGCAACGAGTTGGTGACTAAGAGTCAGCAGTCAAGGAAGATCTCTCGGAAGTAGTGACATTGAAGCAAGACGATAAGACAGAGCCAGCCATGCAACCTAAGAGGAGAAGAGCAGTCCCAGCACAGAATATCCCGTGCAAAAGCCCTGAGGTGGAAACCAGCTTGCTGTGGTCAAGAATCCAAAATAATGTCTATGTAGAATCTAAAATAAGGTCCATGTGGCTAGAAGGTGGAGGTTTGGGGCAGAAGGAAACAAAATGAGGCTACAGAGGCAGGGCTTTGTGGGCCAGGTGAAGGGTTTGGATTTCATCGTAAGCATTAAGCAGAGCCGCTTGTGGTATTTAAGCAGAGACGGTGGGTATGGCTGTTATGAGGGTAAAGTGGACAGAAGAAGGAGGGAGACAAGGAAGCTCCTGCGAAGGTCCAGGGGAGGCACGATGGTGGCCTGGACCAGGATGCTGGCTGTAGCAGCTGGAGTCAGGTGGAGACAGCAGGGTTTCTTGATAGAAGGGAGGGAAGCAGGCAGTCAGACTTGGTTTCTAGAGTGCTTGCCCACTGCTCATTTACTTGACCCCTTAGCAGCACCCCGTCTGGACCTCTCCCTTCTTGTTTTCACTCCTATGCCAACAAACTCTCCTGTTCTTCTCCCACCATCACTGACCCAACCACCTTGCAGAACAAACATTGACAGTGTATTACGTAGCTCCTGCCATAATGCCGCGTAACAAACAAGCCCCAAGTCAGTGTTTTGAAGTGATAAGCATTGACATTGAGCTCAAGTTCTCAGGTTCCTGGTCTCAGCTGGCATCTCTCCTGAATCTGCAGCTGCTGCAGGTCGGGAGCAGGGCTCTGTTGTTCCTGGCTGGGGGCTGCTGGCAGGGACAATTGGGGTGGCTCTGTGTGCCCCAAATGTCTCGTCCTCCAGCAGGTAGCCCAGGCATGCTCCCAGTTGCCCTAGGGCAGTGGTCGGCCAACTGAGGCTTGCGAGACACGTGAGGCTCTTTGGCCCCTTGAGTGTGGCTCTTCCACAAAATACCATGTGCGGGCGCGCACGTACAATGTGATTGAAACTTCGTGGCCCATGCGCAGAAGTTGGTTTTCGGCCTGGGCGAGTCTATTTTGAAGACGTGGCATTAGAAGAAGTGGGGGGTGGACATATAGAGAGGATGAACAAAAGGAGATAGAGGAAGCAAGTATACAAGACGAGTGTGGATGGGAGAGTTGGAAGGGGTCGACCTCAGCGAACGTACCTCAATCAGATTGAGGACGTTTTTAGCAAAGGCCAGCTTAGGAGTACCCTAATTAAGTTAATAACAGTGTACCTACCTATATAGTTTAAGTTTAAAAAATTGGGCTCTCAAAAGAATTTTCAGTCATTGTACTGTTGATATTTGGCTCTGTTGACTAATGAGTTTGCCAACCACTGCCCTAGGGGTCAATCTTTGCTTGCTTGCTTTCAAGAAATCCCGCTGTCTCCACCTGAATCCATCCTCCACCTCAGTCCACCTCTGCACTGCCAGCTTCCAGTCCAGGCCACCATCGTGCCTTCCCTGGGCCTCCGCAGGAGCTTCCTTACCTGTCTCCCTCCTGCTTTTGTCCATGACCTTATAACAGCCATATCCGGCGCCCCAGCTTGAGTACCACAAGTGGCTCTGCTTAATGCTTGTGGTTGGGATCCCCTCTGCTCCACAAAGGCATGCTCTCATCACAGAAGAGCAAGAGAGGAAATGCGCAAGGCTTCTTGGGGCCCTGGCTGGGAGCTGGCATGACGCCTCAGGTCAAGGCAGGTCGGGAGCGGGGAAATAGACTCTGCCTCTTCAGGGCAAGGAACCCTGCGACGCCACGTGGGAGAGAGCATGGAGACGGGGAGGTGAAGGATTGGAGGCGCTGATGCCAGCAGCCACGACTCTGTCATGACTATCTATGCCTCCAGTACAGTCACCACTGGCCACCAGTGGGTATTTGAGATTAAATCAATGAAAGTGAATGAAATAAAAAATCCAGTTCCTCCGCCGCAGCAGCCACATTCACGTGCTCGGTAGTCACAGTGGCTAGTGGCTGCTGTGGTGGAGAGAGCACCGCTGTAGCCCGCCTCCATCCCGGCACAGAGCTCGCAGCACCGTCCAGGGCGAGGCTTTTCTGCTCCCAAAGCCCAGGACCCGCGCAGAGATGTGTGAGCCGATGCCCAGCGAGCAGCCCGAAGAGGGTGCCGGCTTTTCTAAGAGCCCCCGAGGCATCCCAGTGACCAGGCAGTGATTTCCGGAGATGGGGAAGCACAGGAAGGCAGCTTCCCTAACGACTGTAATTGGACATAAAGACTGAAGCTCCAGATGAGGACCGGAGGGAAGGCAGCTAAGCAGAAACGGTGATTTGGAGAACACTGTTGTTCAGGGGCCACTAGCACCCTCTGAGTGCTGTGCCATTCACACATTGCAGAGGCCAGCAGCCTTCAATTCCTCGAGTAGGAAAGAAAGCTGGGCTCATCCCAAGTCCCTCCCACCTGAGCTCCCTCCTGGGCACCTCTGCTTAGTTCCCCGGCCCCCTTCTCCAGTGATTGTTTGTGGATCCAAGTCAAGCGTCTGAAAACAACAGTTACCTCTTCGTGTCTGAATATATGGACCTTGGATTCATTTTTAAGGATAATGCCCAGTGCCTTGACTGAGAAGGACAGTGAGAGCGTAAATCAGTACAACCTTTTTGATAAAGTTGGACGGCAGACATGAAGGACCCTTTGGAAATGAGTGAGAGAGGTTCCATTTTTGCTCAAGGATGTTTAATGCAGTATTGTCTACAATGGCCAAAAAATTAAAAACCAGTTAAACAGCCAATGATGAGGAACTTGCTCTGTAAAATACAGTATTACATACAGTGGAATGTGTGTGTGTCACGTTCTCAGAGACTTTCCAAAAACGTGATAATGCCTGCAAAATACTATGAAGCGAAAGCAGGATATAACCAGTGTGTATAGTATGATCTAGTATGAGATTTATGCAAATATATGCATAGGAAATATGGCCGAAGGGAAATGAGTCAATATGACATTGTTTGCACACTGTTGTTGCTTCCCAATACCTAGCACCAGAGAGTCAATAAATATCTGTGAATTGACATCATCTATGTAAAGAAGCCTCAAAAGTGTAGCAATTTTTATTTTCTTTCTTGTGCTTTCATACAGTCAACATGCTTTACATTTGTAATCATCTAAAAAGCTATTGTTAATAGTTGTTGAGATCATAGACACACAGGGAGAAATTTCAGGAATATTGTATAAAATGGGGGTTATTTTAGGAACAAGACCAGCATGATGGGGGGCACCCCATTATGAGCCTACATATCTCCAGCCCTGACCCATGAGCTCATATGAGACTATGTGTGTGTTTCAGGTACTATCCCATGGGCCACCCAGCGTCTGTCCACCTCTACTTCCTTGCTGACCGCTTCCAGGGCTTTGTGATCAAGCATCACGCTACCAATCTGGCCGTGAGCAAACTCGAGACGCTGGAGACGTGGGTGATGCCGAAGAAAGTCTTCAAGATCGCAAGCCCACCCAGCGACTTTGGGAGGCTCCAGTTTTCTGAGGTAAGAGACCAGACATTGCCATACTTCACTGCCTTTCGCATCCCCCTTGCTGGGTCCTGTTCCATGATCTGACGCCTATAGTTGGAGATGGAGGACAAGGGGACTTGGAGAGCCCCAAAGATAGGCTCACCCTGTGCCTGCAGAAGGTCCTCCAGTCCCAAACACTGGAAATGGCATCTTCAACAGATCGGGAGAAGGACAATGGGCCAAACCAACCTGGGCTCTTGATCTATTTTTCATAGTAGAACTTTTATTTATTTTATTTATTTTTTTATCCTTGCTAGTGATTCCTCCTAACCTTGTGTTAGTAATGGACCAATATCAAACCAGTTTCCTGATGAAGTGGGGGCATCGATCCTGTCTTGCATACTGGAAAATTGAAGCCTATGGAGATTCAATGATTTTCTAGATCAGAGCTAGGAAGTGGGAGAGCTCACACTTGAACCCAGGTCTCTTAGGCTGCAAGTCCCATGCTTAATTGTGCTTTTGTCTCCCCGATCTTAGCACAGGATTTAGCTTAAAATAAGTACCAGATCAATCATTGAATGGATGAGTAGATGGATGGATACATGGATGGGTGAATGAGTGGATGGATGGACGGATAGATGGAAGGATGGATGGATGGATGGATGGACAGATGTGTTAGTGTTTGGACAGATGGACTGATGCATGACCTATGGAATGCAGTTTCCACCTCTCCAGTACGGCACCAGCTTTCAGTTGTTTTCCTGCCTGGGGAGATGTATTTATCCAGCACCACCCTTCTGACATCAGCCCCACCTCCAGACCTGATCTACCCTCTTTCTACTTCTCCAGCCCCATCCAGTACCACTCCCTTCCCCACTCACACCTGTGTTTTTGTCAAGCATGCCCAGTTTGTTCCCACCTCAGGCGGGGCATGTTGATCCTCCTGCCTGGAACGCTTTCTCACAGGTTTTCACCTATTTTGGGTTCATTCTGATCTAAATCCAAACAACGCACCTTCCGAGAAGCCTTCTCTGCCCACTCACTTAGGCCATGATAGCTACACTCCCTGCCTGACACATCCTTGTTTTAGTTTTTTCTTAGCATTTACCATCTAACATCATCTTGTTGGTTTCGCTAATCACTTGGTGACTGTCCGCAAGAGAGCGAAGACAATATCCCTCTCACTCACTGCTGTAAACCAGCACATAGAAGAGTATGTAGCATTTGCAGATGCGGAATAAGGTGAAGGGATTAGCCAAACAAGATGGATAGTCCGTGGACACAGACAAGTGTGGTGAAGGCCAGGGGAGGCGGATGGAGGCTGGGTAGAGGTGGGCAAATGGGGGAAGATGGGAGACATCCGTACTAGTGTCAGCAACAATGATTTCTGAATGAATGAGTGCCTGCACTTGGCTGGTGACCTGGAAGGAAAAGGAAGCCTGAATAAGCTTGGTGAGGGTTGCCCACACAAAACTCCTCATGGGATTTCTAAAGCAGTGATTCATTCCTGGAGTTAAGCACCCCCAATGAGTTTGGCTGCTGGCTTGGGAGCCGATTTTGGAATGTGGAGAATCTTAAGGGTTGGGAGTAAGTATCGCACCCACTTATATTCCCTTGCTAGTCTTTTTCCAGTCCCCAGTGGCCCACCTGGCCGACCTGTGCCCTACTGAGTGGGCACTGAACAGGCACTGGTGGGAGTTTCTTGTGAAGCCATGGTTTTCAATTAAGGTTCCAAACGTATTGGCTGGATTTGAGCTGCCATGGGAACCCACTCCATAAATTACTGGCGCCAGGGGGCCGTTAGATGCTGCCCCAGTTGGAATCTGTGCTGGGGGCCCAGGCGGCCGATTGAAGACATTAACGTCCCATTAAGGAGATGGATGCCTGGTGGCTGGGCTCCCCCTGTTTATCAGCCTGCCACTGGGGGACCGGGCACTTCTGGCAGTGACAAATGACGCTGGCCACTCGTAGCTGGTGATTTGTGAGGGTTCCTGCGATAGCTCTGGTACCCTTGGTGTGAGAGCCACCGAGACCTCTGGCAGAGTACCAACGTGTGAGCAGGGAGCCCTGGATCTTGTATTTCGATTTTTTTTCTAAAGCCTTAATTTTAAGGCAAACGTGAAGTTGGACAAGAAGGAGGAACAGAACTGCATGTTGAGAAGTTCTCTCGAATTGGCACAGCCCCAGGGCTGTGCATAGGGCCTGGCCCAGGGCAGGTGGGGAGCTCGGATAGAGTTCTCCATCCCGTGGATGTCCCGTGCCAGTGGCTTAGAAAGTCACCGAGTGCCCGAGATATTCGAGGTGCAGAGGAACAGCGGTCAACCAGATAGACCAGACCCTTGTAGTCATGGAAGTGCTCTCTCGTGGGGCAGCCAATGAGTGAGCAAACAAATGAACAAAAACATTTCAACTAATAACAAGTATTACACAAAGAAAGAAAAATGCCCTCCCTGTGATTGCTGAGGCCTTGAGAGGCCGATGAGGAATACCTTCAATGGGATGATTTGTTGAGAAAGGCTTTTCTAAGAATAATTTTGGAGCTGAAAACTATACCCTGGGACCTTCTAGGAGAAGCGCATGTGCAAGGCAAAGGCCCTGAGGCTCCAGGCAGGAGCTCGGTGGACTCCAGGAGCAGCAAGGCCAGTGCACAGTGAGCGAGAGGGAGAGTGATAGGAGGGAGGACTCTGAGGGGACAGGGGACAGATCATGAGGGGTCTCGCAGGCCCTGGAGAGAAGTTTGGGTTGTATTTTAAGGGCTGTGGGAAACCTTTGGTGGGCTTGAAGCCAGGAAGCATTGTTAAGCTTGAACTTGAACATGCACTCATATATGAGCAGTTGATCATTTTATAGTACAAATGGTAAGCAGACTGTGCCAGAGTACGGTGTGGACTTCCAGAGCAAGGGGGAGAAGACCTTGAAGGCCACAGAGGATGTGACAGCAACAGGGCTCCATCTCAGGCAGACCCTCCTCCCTCGCGCGTGGGGGTGGCGGCTGACTTTCTCCTCCTCTCAAAGTTTAGAAACAAGATCTAGGTTTTTCCACTGTCAGCAGCTTTGCAGCTCGTCTGCTGTGTTATTTTGGTTTCAGAACTGACTTCAGGGATTTGTTCACCCCCAACTCTATGGGGGAATCAAAGGATGGTTTCTGGAGTGTCCCCACACTCCCCTAACTGGTGGGTAATTCCTTCCTGAAGTAGAACCCTGACATGGTTTTGTGACCATTGATCCATTTGTCAGTGTCTATTGGAGTCAGTGTGTGCAGGGTCTGGGTGCATAGGGATGTCCATGTGCTCAGCCCCTAATCGTTCATGACATAGATAGATGATGGATGGGTAGATCGATATATGCTGGGTAGATAAATATAGAGATAGAGATATATTGAGCACCTGCTATGTGCTCAGCACTGTTTTGGGCACTAGAGATACATTGATGAAAAAGCCGAATTTTGTCCCTACTCTCATGGAGTTGATAGTGTTGAGCCAGGGAGAGAGATTAAATTAAAGATTGCAATACTGTACAAAAAAACTACAATGGGCAAACGCTGAGAGACGCACCTTAGTGGTGCCTCTAAGCAGGCAAGGCTTCCAAGTAGTGGTGACACCCTGGCTGAGGCCTGGATGATAAAGAAGAGCTGGTGGGGAAGAGGGTGGGGAAAGTAAGCAGACTGTACCAGAGAGAGGTGGGTGTGGACACAAGATGAGAGGCAAGAGTGAGCCCTTCTCAAGGAGGCGCTGAGAGTACTCCAGCATGGGGGGAGGGAAGGGAAGGGAGGGGAGAGCCTAGAGCAGGGGTGAGTGGAGGATGGGGAGAGGGACAGAAAGGAAGAGACCCAAAGGACCAGACCTTGTAGGACAGAGTGAGAGACCAGACTTAGGAACAATGAGATACTGAAAAGGATTGGGCTTAGAATCAGGTTTCTTTAGAAAAATCTCTAAGACTTTGAGGTGTAGCTTGAATCCTGCTCACTCATTTATTTCTTCAACCAACAACATCGTTTTAATTCCTATTGTGTCCCAGACCGTGTGCTAAGCAGCAGGGGTCCTCGGGACCAGCCAGCTCCTGCTGATCCATAGGGTGGCCAGGATTTCACAACCCTGGGAGGGACGGTGCCCAGCAGAAATGGCACAGCAATCGCTACCTCTGCTGCCCTTAAGACCACTCTAGGCTGCGGTCTAAAGACGGAAACCTGAAGCAAGCTGTGGGCCTCTGAAGGACAGGTATAAATAGTCCCATCTGGTTGGTGGTAGGCATTTGGCACATATGTATTGATGAGTGAGTGAGTGAGTGAGTGAGTGAATGGGAGGCAATATATTAAAGAGTAGATAAGAGCACAGCCTTTGAAGTCAGACTTCCTGGGTCCCCCTGCTGGCTTTGCCCCTCACTGACCATAGCAAGTTATTAAGCTGCTCTGAGCCTCAGTTTCCTCATCTGTAAAATGGGGATAATGTGGAGTTGGAAGTGAGTATGAAATGAGTGATGCATCCAATCATTTAGCATTATGCCTGGCATAAGCTCCTGGTACCTATTGGCCATGCAGCTCCGTGTTCTGTGTAAGGAATGGACACAGTGACTCGAGGTGAGAACAAGGAGAAAATAAACCAGCTCCTGTCTGCACCTTAATGTGGAATCTTCTCAGGGTGATGTCTATACCTTCCCCTGCCCTGACCTGCAGACACACACATTGGAGATGCTGGTCATGCAGAGGCCACAGAAGCAGCGCAAGCCTGGCAGTGTGCTCATTATCGGCTGCCAGCGTGTCCCACGCTGTCCTCAGAGCATTAAATGAAAGCTCCTGGGGAGCAGAAGACCCTCATTTAATTTGATTTGAAACAGCAACAGAGCACATCAGGGATCTCTGCAGTTCATTTATTTGTTTGTCAAGTCGTTCCCTTGACAGATACTGATGGAGCACCAAGCACAGTGCTAGGCACCACGAGAGAGCAGCGGACCCAGGTACAGGGATCTGAGCAGTTTGAGGACAATTCACAGGATCTTTCTGGCTGCTGGGTGGAGAAGAGATTGCAGGTGACAGAAGTGGAAGGAGGGAAGGCAAGCATGGATTCGTGGAGGGCGAAAGCCACTGGCTGGCAGGAAGGATGGATTGTACAACCATCTCCCATCCCTGGGCTCCAGCTCAGCATGTGTTAGGGAGGCCAGAGCTCTATCTTCTGGGAAAGCCCTGTGAACTCTTGCAGGTGACAGGTGATGCTGAGGGACCCTTCTTTTCTAGCTTATGACAGGGCAGCTCCAAAACCTGAGCTCTAGTCTCATTCAGAATAGTCACACTCAACAGAGGCACATGATCTGGAAAACCAAGGAGCAAAGCGGGATCCAGCTGGACCTGTTGAATGGCAGGGTGTATGTTTTCTTGGAATGGCCTCAAGCAGGGATTCATTCATTCAGTGCACATTTTTTTCCCAAAACACCCACCAGGTGCCAGGCACTGGAGGCCCTAAGGTTTAGTGAACGGACCACAGGCCTTGTAATCCTCCAACCTGGATCCAAATACCAAATCTTCTGCTTACTTCCTGTCTGACCTTGAGCAAGTAACTTAATTGGAGCCTGAGTTCCCCCATTTCCTCATCTGTAAAATGGGTATATCCTGCCCAGCAAGCAGGATCCCAGGCCTTTCTGGGACCCCGCACCATAGCTCAGTGTCAGTGATTTCAGGACTCACTCTCCTGTTTCAGGTCGGCACTGACTGGGATGCCAAGGAGCGGCTCTTCCGCAACTTTGGGGGTCTCCTGGGGCCCATGGACGAGCCGGTAGGCATGCAGAAGTGGGGGAAGGGCCCCAACGTGACCGTGACCGTCATCTGGGTGGATCCCGTCAACGTCATCGCAGCCACCTACGACATCCTGATTGAGTCCACGGCCGAATTTACCCACTACAAGCCCCCTTTGAACTTGCCCCTGCGGCCTGGGGTCTGGACAGTGAAAATTCTCCACCACTGGGTGCCAGTCGCAGAGACCAAATTCCTCGTCGCACCTCTGACCTTCTCCAACAGGCAGCCCATCAAACCGGGTGAGTACTCCCCGTGTCTCTGCTGGGAGTCCAGGGTCGGGGGTTGGGGGGATATGCCATCCCCAGGGATCTCATGGGTCCATCGCCTGGGCAGTGGTGCTGCCCAGATGTGGGGAGAGGGGGCCACTTTCGAGAACCATGCTCTCTGCTCTCAGTTGTTGCTTTTCTGCCTGCACACGGAGGTGACATCCTCAGTCTATGACTTAGATAACTTTTTATTAGATGCTCTCCCACTGGGCTCCCAGAGGCTCTGATCATATTTAAGACAGGATGGAAAATAAGCCCAGGCAGATATTGAGTTTTAGCAAATCTTGTTCACTGTGTAAAAAAATATTAATTAAAACAGGAAATCCTGTTCATCAAAAATATGATACACTAGGTCAGCGCCTTTTCAACCGGTGTGCCACAAGAATTTTTAAAGCAATGCAATACCTGACTATTTAGTCAGGGGCACTGACCTCTTTCCCCTTAGATTGTCAAGTAAAACAATGACAACAGCCAACACAACAGTAGCCGCCTGGTGTTGTCTCCATCTAACAGATCGCAGACCCAGAAGCCACAAACAATTGCAGCCTCTGGTAGCTAAGCGTTCTGAGCTGGGTGCCATTTAGCCAGTGACACAAGGAGAGGGGACATAGATATGGGGAGGGGAGGGGCGGAGTCCTATAAAAGGAGTGTTGAAGGGATTCTATCGACTTTGCTAAGTTTCTGTGCTGAGCAAGCAGACAGGTAGAGCCCTCAGGTTTTCTCAAGATGGAATTCTGCTTCTCCACTCCCCTCAGAAACAGACAAAAGCTCCCCAGAACTGTCTGGGCCAGCGCACAGCCCTGAGGGCCCCCAGGGTCCCGGATCAGGTTCACGTCCTTGGCATCCCTCGGGATCTCCACAGCCAGGTGTGGAGGGGGAGCACTGGAAAGGGCAGTCCAGACCTCTGTGGCGGATGCGCCTGCTGGACAGAACAAGGGCGTGGTCCTGACTCCATCCACCTCAGCAAACAGCCCGGGCCCTTCACTGGGGCCTGAGTTTCCCAATGTTTTTCTCCTGGAGGCTCTTCCCACCCATGCCCAGCATGAGCCGGGGGTCACTGTACCCCACTGGGAGCAATGCCCCATCGTCACCGTTGGTAATTGTATCTGTTAACGATGTTCCAATGACAGGGAACACGAAGGAGGGAGCCGTGCAATTTGTAAAATGATTCATCAAGAGTAATTTGCTATTGATGCGTCCCTAGTAATCTCAAGAAATCTGATGAGGTGGAATTGAGGAAAATTTAATTATAGAGGTGAGCATTGGAGGCTGATGCTGTAAGAGCACGTCCCACATCAGCCTCACTGTTCATAGGGTTTTCTGCATCGACCGCAATGTTTGGTGTTAGATGTGTGAGCGGCTCTCTTCGCTCTGCAGGCCGGCGTGTTGTGGGTTTGGTGTGCCCCGTCTCCCCATCTGCAGGATGGAGGCCTGGAGAGGCTCCAGTAGAGAAATCAGATCTGCGTCAGAGAGAACAGCCTCTGTTCTCCTGGCGAATGACACAGGAGCTGCCTGCCCTCTGCCAGCATCCAGGAGCGGTGGGCTAGGGTGACTGACACACCTGGGCTTACCTAACGTGAAAGGGAGAAGCGCCGCTAAATCACAGCAGGGCAGGATATGTGCTCACGCCTGATGGTCTCTTCTCTCTCACTTCCTCCTCCAAACTGTAGAGCCCGGCCCGTCAGCTTCCTGAAGCATTAGGGATGGAAGGAATGACTTTCTTGTCTGTGTTAGTCAAGGCATATTTTTAATTCAACTGGGTTTTCCATTGCGTTTAGAAGGGCAGACATATATAGGGTGTGCCCCCAAACGGTATACACACACTCGGAATAATCATAAAGGCAGTGTTTATTAAAATGCATTCATTTTTAAAATTGAGCTATCAGCTGTGAAAGTGTGTATACATTTTGCGGGACGCCCTGTATATGGTCTTTCTTCCTCCTCCTTCCCCACTCAACACCACACTTGTTAGAAAATAACCTGCCAACTATTAGGGTGTCCTGGTTGCCGCCGAGGGTGATGGGCACTGTCCAGCAAGCAGGAAGGGTTATGTTCTGACCGCCACTTAGTCTTACAAGGAGGTTTCTTCTAATCCTTTCTTCTAATTCTCATCAGAATCATTAGTCGGTATTTTTAAATATATATATTCTTGTGTTTGACAATAAGCAACGAGTGGGAGCTCCTTCAAAATAGGAACAACTCACTTCTTTCCTTCAGCCCAGATGGCTACCCTTTCTGCTTCCCTGTCGCTAAGTGCCTCTGGTTTATACGTCACGTGACTGTTGACAAAGCGCATGCACTTCCATCGGAGCCTCTTGCCAGCCCAGCGGGTCCAGTTGGTGCAAGGATGAGTGTCCCCATTTTACAGGTGGGGAAACCAAGTCTTTGAAAGACTGACTCCAAGATGGAAAAACAAACAAACAAAAATCAAAAACAAAACTACTGCTTTAGATTCCAGCTGGTGGATGAGCCTTCAGTAGATTATCATGAGGACAAACACCAGCTTTGGAGTCAGCCAGTCTTAGACTTAACCCCAGATCTGTCTCTAGCACAGTTGCCTCTGTTTCCCCATCTATAAAATGGGTAGAATAACACCAGCCCAATAGTTGTGCATGTGTATTGTGTACTAATAATACCAACATATATTAGTTGAATAGTCATTCAAGCTAAACCTTTCCAAGCACTTGGTATATTCTGATTGCCATTGTACGCACTTTGGGTGAGTCAGTACATTTCGTCATCATGAAGCTGTGAGAAAGGTATTAGTACTCCACCCATTTTACTGATGGGAAAACTGAGGCACTGGGCTTTGAAGTCAGAAGTCACACCCCTGGTATGTGGGACGTGGGGATTCAGACCCAGATGGTCTGCCTGCAGTCCCTGTGCTCTGCCCAAGGCATGGTTGCTCAGCAAGGCGGAGCTGCTGGGAGAGTCAGTGGGACCTCCCACCCCACTCTGGTCCAAGCATCTGCTCTCCAGAATACTTCCCAGTGGTCTGTTCATGCTCCAACCCCGTCCGGGACAAAGCAGAAGCCTGTGGCTTATACAGAGTTCACGGCGGGCACTCGGCAGCCAAGAGCAGGGCTCCTCACCAGGCTCTCAGATCATTAGACCCCGTTCAAACCCCGGCTCCGACTCCCATTACCTATGTGATTTGGGAAAAGATGCTTAATAAGGCTTTGTGCTCACTGTTCCCTCTGCCCAGAATTCTCTTTTCCAGGATCTGTATGTGGCTTTTTTGTTCCTTCACATTAATCACCTCTCAGCTCAGATGTCACCTCAGCGAGGCCTCCCTTGCTCACTTCATCTAAAATAAATACCCTGGTAACTCTAACCCAGGGATCGGAAGGCTTTTGCTGTCAAGGGCTGGATAGTAAATATATGCAGGTTTGGGGGCCACTTACAATCTCTGTCTCAACCACTCAGTTCTGCTGTGGTAGCACAGAAGCAACCACAGACAATATCTACCCAAATGGGCATAGCCATGTTCCAATAAAACGTTATTTAGAACAACGGGTGAGGGGCCATAGTGTGCCAACCCCCTGCTCTGATTCAACACCCCGTTTATTTCCTTCATGACTCTTATCACTAATTGAAACAACCTTATTTATTTACTTTTTTTCCCTTTATTGTCATCAGTCTACCCCACTGGATTGCAATCTCCTTGACTGTCTTGTTCTCTCCACCCCATAGAGTAGAGCCTGGAATAAACATTTACCAAATGAATGGGTGGATGACCACCTTGCAAATAGTAGATGTTCAGTAAATATTAATTGAATGAATGAATGTCTGGACTATAGAAGATGCCGTGAAAATCTGTGAATGAATGAACTTCGCTCTAAAGTGGGCTCAGAGCTGTCTCGGGCTCAGTTTCTTCATCTGTGCAGTGGGACTGAGGAGACAGCCTCCTCATGAGGCTGTCCTGTGAATTAAGTGGTGCCCAGCGTGGTGCCACAGCAGGTGCCAGGTTCGTGGCTCTTCTAATGATGTGATGGTTCCCTTGGCTTTCAGAGGAGGCGCTAAAGCTGCACAATGGACCCCCCCGTGGCGCCTACATGGAGCAGAGCTTCCAGAGCCTGAACCCCGTCCTCAGCCTGCCCGTCAGCCCGGCCCAGGTGGAGCAGGCTCGGAGGAACGCGGCCTCCACCGGAGCTGCGCTGGAGCGCTGGCTGGACTCGCTGGTGGGCAGCATGTGGACCGCCATGGACATCTGCGCCACAGGCCCCACTGCCTGCCCAGTCATGCAGACCTGCAGCCAGACGGCCTGGAGTTCCTTCAGCCCGGACCCCAAGTCGGAGCTGGGGGCAGTCAAACCCGACGGCCGGCTCAGGTAGCACTGGGCGTGGGTGGGCCGCAGCGGATGTCAAAGGGAACACAGCCAGAGGGCCTCCCACCCTGGGGGTGCCTTTTGTGGGAGGGGCTCTCCTGGCCATAGAATGATGGAGAAGGAAGGTTCTGAGGCCAAAGCAGGGTCTGCCGATGACCTGCATTTGGCAAGCTGGCTCCTGGGGGTGTGGTCTTACCTCTTCCGGCTGGTCCTCGAGTCCTACAGGGTCCTTGTCTTCCCCTCCAGTGACCAAGCCCCCAGACGAGTGATTCTCAGACTTTTCCTTTGAGCAGCAGAACTTTGTTTACGAAGCGCAGTGGTGGGTGGAGTTCCAGGTGCAGGTGAAATCCAGGCTGCTCTGGGCGAAGCTAGGGCGAGGGGGGTTCTTCCTCAACGCTCGGCCCACCGGGCGGTCCCTTCGCCAAGGGCATCTCCTAAGGTACCTCTTCAGAACCCAAGGGCTCTGCAAAACCCAGTTTGAAAAGCACTGCCCAGACGGTGGGTTTGATCGCCAGCCCCACCCTTCGGCTCCTCTTCCCGCTCCTCTGGCCCAGGAAACCCTGTGCCAGCGCTGAAATGACAGGTCACTGAAACCATGCTCACGGGCCCTCCCCAGGGAGGCCGCAGGCCCAGGACGGCTCCAGGCCTCCCACCAGCCCTTCTTAGTCACTACACGAGCAGGGAAGCCTGTGGTGTGACATGGCCACGGTCCAGCAAGGTGTGACTGCCAACTGTCCTGGGTTCCATGCCCCCTCCCTTGAGGAAAAATGGGCTGATGAACATCACGTCTCCAGCCATTCATGGGCCAGGAGACCATGACCTTGTTGATCCTTGACGGTGGGAACACTAGGGCCCATGGCCATGAAACTCCTACAGATGGTTTGGAGCAAAACTCCTGAGCTAGACAGCACAGCAATATCCGTCCCCGGCCTGAACCTTTCCATTCTGAGGTCAGCCCCTCCTCCCACCCCCCCGCCCCCCAAACCTTTGGGAATCGCACAGTCGGTGCTGTTGGGAGTGACCAAACCAGACTTTTCACGTCCAGGAAAAAGCATTTCCGATTCGGTTTTTAAATCCATGCCCTTCTTTATCCCAGGCGACATGCCGTGTAAACATGGGACGCTTGAGTGTCTGCTTGTTTAAAACCTAAACAATAATATTATTCCAACGGCCTGAGCTCCCAGACGCCTGGAGGGTCCCCTGCTCCTCTGAGAGCCCCTCGCAGGAGGCTCGCTTCCTCCTCTGACCCCACCTCCCCCAGAGGACAGGGTTCCCTTGGACAAGTCCCACCCCTGGTTGCAAACCGCCCTTCCTGGGGAGCCAGTTCCTGGTGTGACCCCCAGTGTGACTATGAAGGTACTGCAGTTCGCTCCGATGACCTTTCAGCTGTTGCCCCCGTAACCACCCATCACCCACCCAGCAAGGCAGGATGTCCTATGGGCAATGGAGGGTATAGAGAAAGGACACTTTAGATATTTATTATTTATATGTTTTAGTCAATGACTAATGAGTAGGTGCTGTTTTTGCAGCTTGTCAATTATGTTATCTTACTAACTGAAGCTGCCTTTATTCACAAAAGGCGCCCCAGCCCTCCCCCTCCCTGTACTTCCCTCCGCATCTCCTAGTGTCTCTCTCTGTTTCTATGCGTGTGCGTGTAAGCGTGCGTGTCTGCCCTACATTCTCCGTGTCCTCAGCAGGGGTGTTGGACAGCATGAGGTGAGCGCTTCGTTCAGCATCATGCACTGGCTGAAAGGGGTGACCTTGGGGACGTTGGAGCCTCACTTTTCCTTATGCAGGTTGTTAGCTTCATGTAGCCCCTCCCGTTTCTGGGGGAGTTGGAATTCCTGAGCCATCCCCACTCCCGCCCCAGGCACAGGACAGGCCTAGCACCTGTGGCGGGAGAGTGTGCTGACCACAGAGCTTGACCGTCCTGCTCCCTACTGACTCACCTCCCTCGGCCAGTCTGACCACGCGCTTCCATGTAACATGACAGACGCACAGGGAAACGGCTGCTCCGAGCCTGGGAGGAAAAGACATCCATGTCAGGCAGAGGGTAGGTGGTTGGATGGCGCCAGGAGTGGCCACTGTCAACAGTGGTCCTCGGGACCTCAGAGTGGCTTTCTCAGAAAGCCCGGTAATCTCTAAATGCACTTACAAGCTGTGGGAGGCCTGTGCCACATCCTCTCTCTGCCCCCAGCTTCTGCCTCTGGCCAGTGTCCCTACACCTGTCCGAGCTGCCCAGGGAGCCTCCCTCCTCCCTCCTCACCAGGCCACGAGGACGTGGGTGTTTCCCAGTGTCCTTTGCAGTGGTTGCGACGGTGCAGCCCCGGCAGGTCCCTGTACGGAGTGTGTGCCTGCAGGCTCCTGCACCTGCTGACGTGGCTGCCTCTTGTTCCCGCCCTGAAACAGGTGGGCCAGAGCTGGCTTATTCTGGGGACTCCCACACCCCATCCCTGTCCTCGGCTTCAGTCACCTCTCCCTGCAGTGAATTCTGGGACACAGAAGTCATCTGGCTGTTTCTTAATGTCTTTTGTTTCTGGACAGAGAATAATTTTGCAGATGTTACATTTGGGGAAAAAAGGGAGAGAGAGAGAGAGAGAGAGAGAGAGAGAGAGAGAGAGGGAGAGAGAGAGAGGGGGAGAGAAAATGAATGAGAATTCCAAACAAAACCCAGGATGATTTGAGAAAAAGTGGTCTTTTCCAGGGAAAATGGCTTAACTCATTCTTTAATCTGCCTGAGCATGGTTTATTGGCCAGGCAGCCTTCAGCCATGGTACCCGAGGGCATTTGTTAAAAGCATGAGGCCGAGGTCTCCGGAAGCCCTCTTCAGGCTGTGGCACAGTGGCTGGGGGTCGCCACCGCTGGGTCCCGGGACTGCAGGAAAGCTGGGACAGGGTCTGCTTTGGGCAGAAGGAAGCAATCGGTAGGCTGTGGCCCTCGGCACAGTTTCCCAGCCAGCCCCGTGGCGTGCAGGCCTCCTCTCCCCCTCCTTACCAGGCCGCGAGGACTCGGTGTTTCCCACCGTGTCATTTGAACCGCTGAGGTCCCTAGAACCACTCTCCCTCCTAGTGGCCTGGTGAGGAGGGAGCTAGAGTATAGGAGACAGAAAGCCCTCCCAAGTCCCACCGCCCAGGCCTTGCACAAAGCACTATGTCTCAGGGCTGGGCCAGGGCTAGGAGAGCAGCGAGCAATTCCCAGGGCCCCCCATGTTTAACAAGTGCACCCGTTCCTTCCTATGGAGCAAGGCCTTTCTGCTCAGATCCGGGGTCATTCTGACTTCATTTCCCGTTGTTGGCTGAACTTCTGAAAATGCAAGTGGCCTTGAGAGAGGCTGAGCACGGAAGGCCACACAAGCCCATGAAAGGTGCAGACCGCAGCTACTCTGGGCCCAGGCCCGTGTCGTGTGGTCTGTGCTTCCCCCGGTTCTCTAGTTTCCAGGTTCAAGAAGGTCACAGGCTAGAACCTGGGTCTCTTTGCCGAGAAGGTGCAGAATAGAGGAGAGCAGTGGCTGCTGAGTGTGGGGTGGGACAAAGACCCCTTTCCCAAGCCACGTTCCCTGGGAACTCGGGACACAAGCTCCCCAGCAGCATCCAAGGCGGAGACACTGGAAAAGCTGTTGGCAGAGGCCTGCCAGGCACCCTATGGCCGAGGCCACAGCTATCCGGGGGGTCCGGGACCCTAGCAGTTGGTGTGACAGTGTAGGGAGTGGCGGGGTCTGCTGGCGGCACATGGCCCCTCCAAAAAGAGCAGCAGCTCCCCAGCTCCAGCCTGTCGGCGCCTGTGAGAATGCAGGGGCCGCTCAGCAGAACCTTCCACTTTGGTAAAGGAAGCCAGAAACCCAGACTTCAATAGGAAATCTGATTTTGAAATGTTGGCCATTTTTTTTAACAGAGGATGGGCACAGAGAAATTCCACAGCTCGGGCTGTGCACCTGGCTTTGCAGAAGTGGGTGAAAAGGAGGTCAGGCGTGGCCCCAGGGAGGTGGAGAAAGCCAGCATTAAGAAAAGGGCAAACATAGTGGCTCCTGTTGAATGCTGAAGGGAACAGGAATCTCTCCCTAATCATTCCCATCCCAAAGACGGTCCCACCCAGGAGGTGTCCCGGGAGAACTGGCTCGTCCTGCTCTCCTGATCCCCACAGTTTGTGCTGAAGGGAAGGAGGGACACCATCTGGAGACCCCAACGGTTGCCCCTAGACCCGAGGAGGTCCACACCTTTTGGAATTCCACCATGCCCAGGCGGAGGGGTCAGGGACGGGGGCCAGGAAGAGAGGGTGGCGTGGGAAACAGCCCGGCTCTCTCCAAATCCCAAGTTTTAGCAGCCAGCTTGCCACATGTCTGGAAGCTTCCCAGGAAGCCCTGCTGGAGCTGAGCTCACTCCCAGGAAGTCCTCCCAGCCTCTGCCTCAGTTACCTTACTTTGCCCATGGGTCTACCACAGGCGCTACCTCACTGTGTCTGCTGAGAAGTTTACCTGGGGGGGAATGAAGGTGGCCAGATCTGCTTGGGCTGAATGTACAATCTATGCAAATTCTCTGTTTCTCTCTCTTTCTCTCTGAAGTTTTATTATTCTTCACCCTGCAAACAAAATACTGTATAGACCCCTCTTAAGACTGAGGAGGGCTTTCTTGCGCCACCTGTGTCCGCCCCTCACGTTGTCTTTGGTTCTGTCCTTGCCCCGCCCCATGCAGGGAGCACGTGGCCCTCCCTCCCCCCGCCCCCCCCTCCACTCAGCTGGAGTTCTCCAGCCGCCTCTGCCCACCACCACCTCCATTCCTAATTCATCTTCTCCATTCCACGCTTTCTCCTGACTTGCGTATCTTCTCCCCATCCCCACCCCCCAAAAGCCTTAGGTTCTCCTTTTTGAAATGTGGCCTTAAAATTATTTTTGGAAAGCTGACCACCCTCTCCCTCCCATTGCCACCCTCATCCCAGAAGAAAGAGCCCCTTGAAGCTTTCTTTCTTGGAAACCTCCTAAGCAAGGGGCGGCCAATCTGTAGTTTGCAGATGCTTAGAAGTTGCTAATAACTGTCGTCTTTAGGAAAACTATTCGTAAGCGTTTCCCATGGGTGAAATGAAGGCTTGGGTGCTCACCTCCACCTCAGCCAGCTCCTGCAGCTCTCTCCCGCCCAGCGCCCTGTGGTGAGCGGGCTGGCTCCATTACCCGCCGAGTGCTAAATCCAGCTTTCCAACCCTCCCCTTCCCAAAGACGCCATGACTTACCTACTTCAGTCAAGGGTGAATCAGGAGAGTTTCCCAATTTATCTCTTCGTCCTTCCTGCCTGGAAAGAGATAGCATTAAATATTCCCAGCTGCTGGGTCGTGTTCTCCAAGGGGCAACACTCTCCCTACATCCAGAGCCCCTCCTCTTCCCTTCCATCGCTCCAGGGCTGATGGAGGCCAAAGACAACCCAGGGTTTTCATAGGAAATTCACTGGAATTGCGCGCAATCGTCTTTGTAGTCCTTCCTTTTTTTTTTTTTATTCTTAATATTATGTTGTCAGTAGCGTTGGGTATTTTTTTAGAGGCCTCACAATAAGTTATTACCGTTCCCCTTCATTTTTTTCCCCGAAGACATGTGGTGATATAGTTTTTAAAAATAACTATTTTGTTATAGATCATAATATGCATAAAACTGTACAGAAATATTTTGTAATGTATTGATTTTTTTAAAAAGAGAGAATCTGTAAATAGAGTTTTAAAAAAAGAGAGAATTCAAACGGCACACACTGAAAGATGTAGATATTTTGCTATTTATTTAAAGGAGTATTTTAAGAGATATTGAACTATCTGAAATTGACCAGAAATCAAAGTTCCAATCACCCGAATGCTTGTTCCTCGCGGTAGAATGTGATTCTCGGAAACAATTGCACTACCCGCCCATTTTTGCACCTTTTCTGTCTCTTCATTTAGCAGAAAAACGACAACAAAATTGTGCCTTAGCTGTATTTTTTTGTCTAGGGGAGTTTGTTTCTGTCTGACAAAGCAAATTTTTTTGCAGAAAACAGTGGATGTAATACTGTACCATACCAAAAACGCTGCAGGTGTACATAGATGCTTTCTGTCATACCGTGTTTTCAGATGCAGAATTTTAAAATTAAAAAAAAAATACTGTCTTTATGGAACAGTGGCTGGCTTCTTTTTAACAATTTCGTGAACCTTTGCACACCCTGGTATTCTCGTCCTCTACGCTATCCACCCCTAGCATTAGGGTGACCATATAATTTGTCATCCACACTGGGGTACTTTTGAGCCTCAAGGGAACACTGACTAAAAGGAGTGATGAAACCACAGGCATAAACTGGGCCTCTCTTGGGAAAAGCTGGATGTGTGGACACACTCCCTAATCAAGCCTGCTGTCCTCTCTCAACTCCTGGAAATGACTCCCCAGTTGAGGCAGAAGTATAGGGTTTTACACCGTTGGTTAAGTAGACGTTAGCGAAGAGGGACTGCCATCTAAAGTGGCAAACAGTTTTTTGTACCCAACTGGCTGGTTATGTAGCCAATCTGTTTTCCTTTCCTCTTTACCACACAGCTGGACTACATTTCCCAGACTTCCCTGTGCTTAGATGTAGCTATATGACCAACTTTGGCCAATAGAATGCAGGTGGAATAGATGAATGCACTTTTAGACCTGGCCCATAAAATTTCCTGGGAAATTCTCAGCCTTTTGGCTAAGATCAAGAGAAGTGTCTGTTCTTATCAGTTTAATATCTGATACATCCTCTATCTGAGGACAGTGTAGTAAATGGATTTTCAAAGCAGGGAGAAGGAATAGGAGCTTGCTCTGTCCACTCCGCACATGGACCCGGTGCAGCAGTACCTGCAGGAACAGTGCACTAAAACAACAAAACCAAACCAAAAAGCTCCCCAGGAGAGCCTCCTCTCTTTCCCTATGCACCAGCGCAAATGTTTTGATTGATCTTGATTTGAGCAGTGTTTATATGTGGCTCCTGAAGGCTGTGACCAAGGATAGAGAGTACCCAGGTGGCTGGGTTGCAGTGGTGCTTTAACTAACCTTCAAATCCTTAAAGGCAAAGAGTAGCACTGAGACCCAGATGGGAGTTTACAGCTGGCACTGAATAGGGTAGAGGAGCTAAGTGACTATATTAGGGAAGATGGGTGAATCCCAGATTTGTTTGCCCAAACCTTTTTTCTAGTCTGATCTGAGAGCCAGTCGCTCCTCTGCTCAAAGATGAGTCCCCCCAAAAAGGCTTTGGGAAGGGGTTACCAGGTCCTCCTTGGGAGGAGGCTGCACGGAGCAGCAGCGGCTAGGCGCCCAGGCTTGCCACCACCCAGACTAGCCAGGGTTGGGGCCTGAACCCATAGGGCACCCCATCCCGTATCCCACACATATGTGCCCCAAGGACACAACCCCCGGTCCGCACACCTATTAAACAGCAGCAGCAGCAGAGATAGCCCAAGTGCGCCCACCACAGACAACGCCCAGCTGTACACCTAAGGAAACAGCTGGGGGACCCTGTGCTATGGGCACAAGGAGCCTCTGCTACCTCCACAGCCACTCCCTGGGCACAGCTCTAGCGTGGAGAGCGTGCCACCTTGAAAGGTTTACAAGGTCCTCCTCGGGAGGAGGCTGCAGGGAGTGGCAGCAGCTAGGCACCCAGCTTCGCCACCATCCAGACTCACCATGGCCTGGGCCCAAACCCACGTGCACCCCGCCCCGGTCCCTGTGTGCCCACAGAGGTGACACCCAGACCCACACGCCTGCAACAGACACCTGCGGGGCCTCTGTGCACCTGGCACGCACCCAGCCAGAACCCATGCTCCCGACAGGACCCAGCCTGGACACTGTGCCACCGCCCTGCGACCACCACTGACCCATTAGGGCTCTTGCCCCTGCCGTGTACTCAACCACTGCCACCACTACGGGGCTGCCACCTCCGCCCCAGAGCCCAGCTGCTCAGCTCCACCGCCAGGGCTCGGGGCCAGGAACTGCGCTGAAGGCCAGGAGTGGGGTGCAGCCTCCCCTGACCTGGACCTACTTAACTGAGGACCTGAGGAGACCGAAGAGGCTGCAGATCTGTAGGTGAGACAGGAGGGCCTGGGACTGAGAGAGGAGGCCTGAGGGCACTGGCTGTGGAGACTGCGGAGTGGGTGCAGCTGTGGAAGCCTGGGGCTGAAGTCCCTGGATAGAGCAGCCCTAGCACCCCTCCATCATGAAGCCTGGGGAGTTCCTCCTGACCAGTGGGAAGGGCCACACAATGGAGCTCACTTAGCATTGAATACACTTAACATTGAAGGCGGGGCTTTTATTTCTTGGAGGAACTCATGTGGGTGAATAGCAAGGGGGCTGGACAGTAGGTCCAGGAAGGGAGATCAGCTCTGGCCACCTGGAATGCAGGGGAGGTCCCCTCTTTCCTCCCCTTATCCTCCCCCCCGCCCTCACCACAGCAAAACAGCTGCTTCTGACCAGACCTACAGCAACCTTAGGCAGGGGGGAACACCCTGGGGCAAGAAATCTCTGTGCCTGCAGGTAACAAAGGGAGGGTGCCAGCAAACCAGACAAAGCTGAGGCATCAGAAGGAGAGAACTGGCCCATCGCCCCCCACCCCTACAAGCCACTGGCACCACCCCCAACACGAGTCTGATCAAACCATCCTGGCCAAGACCAGGATATCCCTGCAGAGCCCAGCTCCATGGGGGAAGGGAGTAGAGCTTAGAACAGGGACAATCAAGGTAGAATCAAGACTCCAGGCAGAACCAGCCTCTGGGCTAAGGAGTTGCCACCTGCTGGACTACTAAGGGCTTCAACCTATGGACCTCAACCAGGTTGCCCAGGGCCAGAAAGGGACAGCAATTCACATTGACTTGCACCAGAGAAGCTTCCAGGGGCCCAGGATAGACATACCTACGGACCAGATTCAACAGCATCAGAGCAAAATCCAGCGAGCTCCACAAATAGCAGCCCCAACGGTTTTTCACTGTGTGAGTGTGTGCAGTTCTGTTTTTTGGTCAGTGTGTGTGTGTGTGTAATTTTTTATGGGTATTTGTTTTTCCCCCTTTTCTTCTTTCTTCTTTTTTTTCTTGCATGTCTCCAATTTCTCTCTTCCCTTTGGTTCTATTCTACTTTTGTCTATTCTTATTGTTATCATTAATTTTCCTTATTTTATTGTGTTTTTCTCATTTTAGTTTTTCTATCTATATGTTATATCCATTATCACTACATTTTAAATTTATTATTATTTCATTTATTTTCTGTTTCCTTCTCTTTTTTTCCTCTTATACTAGTTCTTTTAGCTTCCTCATTGCTCCCATATAGCCATTTTTTTTGTCTTCTTTCTCCCTTTTTCTCAACATCCCCTCTACATCTTTGGCCATGTGTCTTTTAGTATTCTCTTTATTTTTCCTTTGCTTTGCATTCTCTTCTTTTTCATTCTTAGTGTTTCCTGTTATTAGTGCATTAAGTAGCTTGATTTTTGTGGTATTTTTGGTTTGTTCCTATAGTTATGTCTTGTTCTGTTCTGTCAGCACCTGTATAACAGCTGGCACAACATTGGGGTTGAACCTCACTAGCAGTAAGTCAGAGGGGAGATCCCTCCCATGAATCGGACATCAACAATCAAGTCCCAATTACAACAGGAGAGCCCAAGTAACACACACAAGGGGCATTCCTAGAGTATTCGGCTCAGATGAACAAAGACTGCATCACTGGACCCCTCAAGAAACTTTCTACATAAAGCCATTCCACAAAAACTGGGAGGCATAACAGTTCTATCTAATACACAGAAGCAAATACAGAGTGACAGCTAAAATGGGGAGACAAAGGCACAAACCCCAAATGAAGAAAAAGAAGGAATTTCCAGAAAAAGAACTAAATGAATTGGAAGCAAGCAATCTATCAGACAGAGAGTTCAAAGTAATGGTTATAAAGATGTTTAAGTAAATTAGTGCAAATTATAAAAGCATGAAAAAGGAAATAGAGGCCATGAGCAAGAACCAAACAGAAATGAAGAATGAAATGAAGAATATATCTGACATCAAGAATACACTGGAAGGAATTAAAAGTAGATTGGATAAAGCAGAGGATCAAATCAGTGATTTGGAAGAAAAGGTAGAAATAAATATCCAATTAGAGCAGCTAATAGAAAAAAGAATTAAAAAGCAGGAAGACAGTTTAAGGGAGCTCTGGGACAATATGAAGCATAACAACATCTGCATTATAGAAATAACAAAAGGGGAAGAGGATGAGTAAGGGACAGAGAACCTGTTTAAAGAAATAATGACAGAAAACTACCCCAACCTGGTGAAGGAAAATGTCAATCAAGTTCAGGAGGCACAGAGAGCCCAATCAAGATAAACTCAGAGACCCACACCTAGACACAGCATAATCAAAATGGCAAATGTCAAAGACAAAAAAGAATCTTAAAGGCAGCAAAAGAGAGACAGAACATTACCTACAAAGGAATTCCCATTAGAATGTCAACTGACTTCTCAATTGAAAAACTTCAGGCCAGGAGCAAATGACATGAAGTAATCAAAGTAATGAAAAGCCTATCATCAACAAATCAACAAGTGACAAGTGCTGGCGAGGATGCAGAGAAAAAAGAACCCTCCTTCACTGCTGGTGGGAATGCAGACTGGTGCAGCCACTGTGGAAAACAGTATGGTGTTTCCTCAAAAAATTAAAAATGGAACTCCCATTTGACCCAGTGATCCCACTTCTAGGAATATATCCCAAGAGAACAGAAACACCAATCAGAAAAGATATAGGCACCCCTATATTCATAGCAGCACAATTTACCATAGCTAAGATTTGGAAACAGTCTAAGTGCCCATCAGCAGATGAGTGGATTAGAAAACTGTGGTACATCTACACAATGGAATAGTGCTCATTACTTTTTTACGCTGCTGTAAAAAAGAAGGAATTCTTACCATTTGCAGCAGCATGGATGGAACTGGAGAGCATTATGCTAAGTGAAATAAGCCAGTCAGTGAAAGATAACTATCACATGATCTCACTCATTTGTGGAATATAAAGAACATAATAAAC